GGCCGGTCCTCCGGAGTGTGCTGGGTGCAGTGCTCCCCAACGTTGTGCAGCAGCTTGCAGTCCCCCCTGGGGCAGCAGGCAGGGAGCCCCTCCTGAGCCCCTCCTGAGGGTTTTTAGAGCCCCTCCCTCCCTCCGCCGACGCCCGATGTGCGGGAGCCCCCCCCCCCCCCCCCCACACACACACACACACCCACCACCACTCCCGCAGGCGCCTCTCCGCGCGGCCGCCGTCCGAGCGCGGCGGCGAGTCGAGCGACGCACGCTCGCGCTGCCGCAGCAGCTTGTGCACCATCAGTCCGAAGCAGTACACCTGCGACCAACACAGCCGCGTGCACGCACGCCCTCTCTCCGCAGCGGGGGAGTGGCGGCCCCGACGGGAGGGCGGGCGCACGTCGATCGCGCTCGTCGCCGCCCGCCCGTCCCTCATCTCTGGAGGGCGGTACCTGCTCACAGCCGCAGAGGGTCAAGCCAGCGCCTCCTTGCCCAGCCGGCATTTGGTGGGAGGGGTCGGCGCTTCTTGGTGCCGACGGTGCGGCCGACCCAGTCGCTCGGGTCCTGGGGGACGTGGCAGGCGAGGCCAAAGTCGATCAGCATCGCCCGGTTCTCGCCTGAGGGGGGGCACGGGAGCGGCGTCGCACGCGCAGCCTGCGGGCAGGCGGCGAGGCGGAGGGCGGGAGGGCGGCGCCGGCGACGAGGACGTTTCTTGCCTGAGGGAGGCGGCGGAGTCGGAGTCGGCCAGGGGCCGGGCGAGGGGCGAGGGCGAGGGGCGAGGGGCGGGTGGTGGCGCGCCTTGAGGTCTCTGTGCACGATTCCGAGCGAGTGCAGCCGCACCAACGCGCGCAGCACGCCGGCGAGGGTGAGGATCGGGTCGATCTGGCGGGCGACGCGGTCGTTGCGCAGGCAGTGCCGCGCGTACTCGAGGACCAGGTGCAGCCGCCCCCCCTCCGCGAACGCGCCGAACGCTGTCACGATGTTTGGGTGCGCACCAGCGAGGCGGAGGTAGCGGACTTCACGCATGAGCGCCTCGCCGGAGGTCTTCTTGCGGCTGGTGGCCTGCTTGACGGCGACGGTCACGCCGAGAAGCCGCGCCTTGTACACCTGCGGAGCCGCATGCCACACCACTCAGAGCTGCTCTAAGGAAGCGGCGATGCGGCTCGCCGCACACCTCTGAGTAGCCGCCGTCGCTCAGCTGACGCCACTCGGCCGCGGGAGAGAGATCGCGCACGTCAAACGAAGCTGCGCCGTCGTCCGACGGCCCTGCCTCGGAGCAGCTGGCGCGGCTCGACGGCATGACCGGAGGGCACGCTGAGAATCAGCTGTGGGATGGGCAAATAAGAAGCGGGGCCCGCGAGCGTGGAATAGGACCGCCGCAAGCGGCGTGGCGTGGAGCGGTTGAGCATCCCTCCGGGGGCCCCTCTGCGCCGGGGAGGCGTTGTTGGCGGCTAGGACGCAAGCGTCCGTCGCCGTTTTCAAACTCGGGGCCCACTCCGCTACGCTCCGACCCGAATTTGGAGGGCCATGAAATTTAAGGTGTTGCTGCGCAAAAGGGGTGGCGCGCGGGCTCGCGCGGCGGCAGGCGTCGAGCGCGGAGCGGCAAACACAATGACGTCGGAAAGCTCTGCATCAAGTATACAGTAGGCGCCAGGACGCGTGTGAGCACGTCGACGTCGAGCTCGAGCTGCTTGAGGGCGGAGAGATACGCCTGGGAGGGCGGTGAGGTGGCGGGGCTGGGCTGGGCGCGAGGCGAGAGGAAGGGGGAATGGGGAGGGGGGGAGGGGAGGAGGAGAGGGGAGGGGGAGGGGAGGAGGGGAGGAGGGAGGGGAGAGGAGAGGCGGGCGGAGTGAGGAGTGAGGGATGGGTCGGGAGGAGTGAGGCAGGGGAGTCGAGGCGGGAGGCGGGAGGGAAGGCGGGCGGGGAGGCGGGAGGGGAGAGGTTCCGCTCACCAGCCTCTCTGCGAGCACCGCCTGCTCCAATCACCCTCTCGTGCGCGACCGCCGTCTCAAACTTCTCGCGCGCCTGCGCCTCCAGGAGGGCCGCTGCCTGCTGCAGCTGCGTCGAGTGCTCCGCGCTCAGCTGCTGCAGCTGCGCTGAGTGCGCCTCCGCCGCCGCCGCCTGCTCCTCGCGGAATCGCTCGACCAGCTGCGCCTCGATCGCAGCCTTGGCCTCCTCGACCGCCGCCGCGCTCGCCGCCTCCTGCCGTCGCATCAGCTCGACGAGCTTGGCGGCGTCCGCCTCCTCCTGGCACTGCAGCGCTTGCTGCAGCCGCGACGCCTCCGCGTCCCGCGACTGATGCGCCTTGAGCAGCTCCATCAGGTGCGTCACCTTTCCCTCCAGCTCGGACGCCGCGGTGGGAGCCGGCGGCGCGCCGTCGCAGCGCGCCGGGGCCGACGGCGAGAGCCTGTGGAGGAGCCGGTGGAGCAGTCGAGACTGCTGACCGCTCCTCCATGGTCCCCCGCCGGTGGACGCCGAGTGCAGTCATCGGTATGCGGGAGGCGTGCTCAAGGGCTGGCGGGGCGGACGCGACGACCTGGCGTTGCCGTCGCGGAGGGCTCGGGCTCGAGTGAGCGCCGCCGGCGACGCGTCGTTGCGGCCGTGGCCGCGCGGGCCACCTGCATCGACGGGCTGCTTAGGGGGGGGGGAGGGGCGCCAATGAGACGGCTTGCCCGTCGGCAAATCCATCCGTGTTGGCACCAGCTGAAGGCTTGCACGGCCCACATCGCCGGATTCGTGCACGGTATTCGGATTTTGCTATTTGTTCGTGTGGGGGTATATTGCAGATTTGTCAATGGTACCGCGTCTGCGACGCGGGCGCCTTGCGGGCAGAGCCCTTAGCCACCCTTTTATCTTGCGCGGTCAAAACGCAAGTACCCGGGTACGTGCTCCAAGTGCACACAGCTATTGCACGCACCCAACGCGCGCGCGCTGCGCGCGCTAGGAAAAGAATACCTGAGGGATACCTACAGACGCTCGCCCTCGACTGAGCTGCCGAACCCTCCCGGCTAATCCCCTGACCTGCCGCCTGAAACGGGACAACGTTACACCAACCACAACCACCTCACTCACACACACTCACTCCCCCCTGAGGGAGGGTGAAGAGGATGTAGAGTGTAGAGCGTTGTAGAGCTGTAGATGTGTAGAGCGCTCTGGAGCGCTGTAGAGCTGTAGAGCTCTACATCCGGCGCGGGACGAACTGCGTGCGCGTTGTATGTAGATAGAGCGATTGTAGAGAGCGCGATTTTGCTGTACGTACTTTTAGCTTACTGGGAGAAGAGGGAGAGGGGGTTGTGTTCTTTAGGCCCCTAAGGGCCCTACGCGCGGCGTGAGAGCTTGGAAGCGAGCTTTGCACGGCGATCAAGGATGGCGCTCTCTTGCTGTGTAGAGTTTGTTGTAGAGGCTCTACAGGTACAGCCAAACCGCCGGGAAGGCAGTGACTCAAAGAGGTCGAGCCGCTTAGGGTACCCCTAGGGTTCTGAGGGCCGGATTGTTTTAAGACCTTTTAAGAAATGAGGAGGTTTTGGGGCTCAAATTGTCATTTAAGAGATTGCAGGCACGGGGGGTCCCTCTTTTAAGTCCGTTTAAGAAAATCGGCCTCACCGGCACGCGCGTCGCTGGGTTTTGCGCCGGTTTCTCCAATACTGCCGTTATTTAGGCACAAACCCGCCACTGAAGACACATCTGTAAGTCTGGTGCACTGGCAGGAGCCATACTCGCATAGGGGACGCGTGCTACGGCTGACTGTAGCCCCAGCCAGCTTCCCGGCCTCCGGCGTCTACCGGGGAGCCTCCCGGACCATCGACCTCGGGAGCTCTCCCGCACCGTTTAAGCGTTTAAGACCGTTTAAGGAATCGGCGGCCCAGCAGCTCTTAAAACCGGCCATCAACCGGCCATGGCAGGTTTGAAGCCGTTTAAGCCGCAGGCGCCCCAGGGCCCACCCTTTTAAGCCTAGGGGTACCCTAAGTCGAGCCGCGCTAATGGGGTGTCTCCGAGCTTACTGCATGCGCTGGAGCTCTGATGGACGGCCCTGACTAAAGCCGTATCCCTGACACAGAGAGAGTCACTCTGACGGCACACAACACCCTATAACTGCGTCATGACCAGCCTGCCATACGTCGCCGGTGCCGCATTCGTCGCTGTGTGCTTCTTTAGCAGGATCCCGCTCTCTGCGTCTTGGCATGTCTGACTCTCTCTCCGTACTCTCTCTCCGAGATCCGAGATGCAACAAAATGCCTCGCGTACGGCTTTTACGCGTTTTAGCCGTTGAACGGCTAATGCGCGTAAACATTTTTTTAAGTGTGAATTTGCTGTCGTCGTAAACAACCGCTAATCGGCTCTAGTAGTGGCTCGGATCTCTCTCTCCGTCCTCTCTCTCTACGGTTCTCTCTCCCTCACTCCGCCTCAGCCGCCAACTGCACCGCTCAGCTCGAAACTTCGCGCGGCTGGTGCTGCTCGTGCCCTCCCTCTCGCCCCCCGTGCGCCGCGCCCCCGTGCGCCGCCGCGTCGCTCTCGCGCCCCTTGAGGTGCGCACCGATGGCGCCGACAAAGCAGTCGTGCTTCAGAAAGAGGGGCTGGACCTGCGGGGGGGGGGGGGGGAGACAGCCGAGCGAGATTAGAGGGGGCGAAGGAGAAAGGAGGGACAGGCGTCGTCTGCGCCTCTCCGCGGGAGAAGTAGTGCACCGCCGCCGAGATGGTGGCCACCGTGTAAGGGTGCTCGCGGATGAAGGAGCCTGCGGGGCGCGTGATTGCGGAGGGGCGTGCGGGGCGGTTGTGCCAGTGGGGTGGGGGCGGAGTGGCGGGGAGTGGAACTTCCGCGGGGCAAAAGCGCCTCCAAAGACGATGTGGCGCAGCCCCGACTGCTGCGCGTACAGCGTCGCGATCTGGCCGATGTTGTTGGACACCATCCGCAGCAGCGAGAGCGCGACGTCGTGCGCCGCGTAGTTTCCGCACATGCTCACCTATACGCGTGCAGCCCGACCGCGCTCGCGCCAACCGCAACGCGCAGCAAGCAGCGGGCGCCCCCCGCTCGCCGAGGCGGCGCGGCGCTCTGCAAAGCGGACGACGCCGAGGATGCGCGACACCTCTCGCAGTCCGGGCAGCGAGGTGAGCACGAAGAGCACCACCAGCCAGAAGCCCTCCTCGTAGTGCCGCAGCAGCGCGCGCAGGTAGCGCAGGAAGAACATCGGGCCGCGCCGCTCGAGCACAACCTTGCCGAAGGACGCGGCGATCACCTGCGGGGGGAGAGGCAGTAGCGCGAGATTGGGGCGAGGCGAGGCGAGGCGAGGCGAGCGAGCTGCGCCCGCCGAGTCACGCTCACTCTCGGACGCCCTCGGGCACATCTCGGGCGCTGCCTCCCCCTCCGAGTGAGCCCCCCCCCCCCCCCCCTTGCTCATCTCTGGTCAGCTCGGGCTCCCACTCGCCTCCGACTTGAGGCCGAGTCCGCGGCTCGAGGCTGCAGCCTTGCCGTAGATGTCGCCCACCTGCATGTCGACGTTGGTGGAGCAGGCGCCCTCCATCTCCGTCAGGCGTATCACCTGTCGCGGCGGGCGGACGGGCCGCTGGACGCGTGTCCAGGGCTGCGGCGCCTCCGCATCGCCGCCCGCCGCCTCGTCGAACGTCTCGCAAGCAGTCAGCAGCCGCACCAGGCCCCAAAAGGTGGCGCCGCCGACACTCGACGCGCCGAGCCGCCGGAAGGTTGGCCGACCGCCTGCGACGCGTGCGGCAGGGACGCGTGGGGAGGCGCGCCGGTGCCGTGTCGTGCCGCCGCCCGGCGGGTGCGGATGGGCACCTGCGCCGCTCTTCGCCTCGAGGACGACCGTCTCAGTCGAGACGGAGACGTAGATGTAGTCCTGCCGGAGGGGGAAGGGGGGGGGCGGTGCGCGCCTCGGTGAGACGGCGAGTCCCGTCGAGCGGGGGAGGGGCAGCTCGGGCGGGGAGCAGCTCGCGCGGGGGCAGGCGCGCGGAGTGTGCGCTCCTTTGGTGGGTGCGCGACGGCGGCGTATCCCCCCTCGACGGCGGCGCGGTAGGCGCCTAGAGACCTCGAGGGGCCGGCCTCTGGAGGGCTCGCGCTGTCGCGGGGCTTGCGGCGGCGGGGCAGGCGCCTGGCGTGGCGAGGGGAGTCATGCTCTCGGGCATCGCCACCGTGAAGAGGTCGGGCCTGCGAGCAGAGGCGCAGGGCCTGTGAGGCGAGCGAGCGTGCGAGGCTCGGGGAGGCGCTACTCCGGCGCCGAGGCAGCTGGTGCAGCAGGAAGTTGAGCCCCGAGAGCATGCAGTCGACGTCGAGCGAGAGGTCGAGCCGGACGCCGATCCCGCCTGCCGCGCGCACACCGCGCTGAAGAGACCCGCCCTCGGGCGCCATCGCGGCCGCATCTCTCGGCCGCATCTCTCGGCCGCATCTCTCGGCTGGAGCTCGCCGAGGGCGTGCTGGTGCTTGTACGAGCCGGCGCCCGTCGCGCGCATCACCACCTGCCTGCGAGGCTGCCACACCTGCACGGGGGCGCCGGGACGGCTCAGGGGAGGAGATGTGGCCGCACCGCCGCCATCAGGGCTGCCGCGCCGGACGCTTTGCGAGGAAGGCGGCGGCGGCTGCCACGTGCTTTGACTCGAAGCAGAAGAAGTGCAGGTTGCCGCCCAGCTGAGGGACGTACCTGGAGGAGGGGGCGGGCGGGGACGTCAACACGGGAGAGGCGGAGGTGCACCCCTCTCCGGTGCGGGGCTGGAGGTGTGGGGCCGAGGTGCCAGGGCCGAGGCGCGGGGCGGGAGGCGCGGGGTCGGCACAGGTGCGCCAGTGGCATAGGTAGCTACCCGGGTAGGCAGTAGGAGGCGCGGGGTCGGCACAGGTGCGCCAGTGGCATAGGTAGCTACCCGGGTAGGCAGTAGGAGGCGCGGGGTCGGCACAGGTGCGCCAGTGGCATAGGTAGCTACCCGGGTAGGCAGTAGAAGGCGCGGGGCGGGAGGCGCGGGGTCGGCACATCGACAGCTCGCGCTCTCCGCTCTGCTTGAGCAGCGCGTCCAGCTCGGCGTCGAGCCGTGGGCTGCCTGCGAGGCGGCGGCGCGCGCGGGCTGGTGCAGCGGTCTGGACACACCGCTGCTGCCGATGCCGCCGCCGCTGCTGCTACCTCCCTCTGGCTTCTGCCTCTAACACCTTTGCTACTGCCTCTGCTACCTATGCTACTACTCCGCTGCTACTCTGCTGCTACTCTGGCTACCGAGGCAGAGGCGTGGCCGCTGCCCATCCTCGGGCGGCGGCGAGGGCTGGAAGAGCACCACCTTGGCGAGCGATCCGCCGATGTCGATCGACAGCTCGTCGCCTAGCAACAGGCGCAGCTTGCTACCGGCAGGCAGCAGCAACTGGGGCAACGCAGCTGTAGGCTACTTGGCTCGCACCTCGAAGACTCATGGTGTTGGTGAGGTGGGGAGTGTGGTGGGTTGTGTGTGTGTGTGCGTGCGTGCGTGCGTGCGTGTGTGTGTGTGTGTGTGTGTGTGTGTGTGTGTGTGTGTGTGTGTGTGTGTGTGTGTGTGTGTGTGTGTGTGTGTGTGTGTGTGTGTGTGACATACGCGCTGAACTCGAACCGCTCTGCACACTCTCCCTGCAGCACTCGCTTGCACACCCGTCTGTTTTGCGTGTGCGAGCGGCGCACCGCGAAAGTCGGGCGCATCGAGCGTCAGGCGGCGGAGGACCTGCAGCAGTGTGCGTCGGCGCAGTGGCGTCACTGGCACGCGCGAAGTTGCCAGAGGAAGGCTGGCGGCGAGGAGCAGCGCGCAGCGTGCCAACATTCGGCAGCCGGCGAAGCCGAGTTCAAAAGAATTGTGCGTATATTGTAAAAGAATTTACAGAATTTCACCAGTCCTCGGAAGCAACAGAAACAAAAAGGCGCATCTGCGCGGCGTGACACAAATAGAAGAGCAGAGGTAACGAACGAACGCTTCGTATCACCATATGTCGACCCTGCTGCGCAGCAAGTCGAGCGCGGGCGCGGCGGCGAGCGTCGTCCGCGTCAGACTCAGCACGCTCTCGCTCAATGCGGCCGCGGCGCCGCACGAATCGGTGACTGTGGAGGTGGACATGCCGGGGGAGGACGTGCCACTGCGAAGCAAGCCAGTCAAACTACGCAAGGGCAGTGCGGCACTCGGCTTCGACCAGGCGTACGAGTGTGGGCCAGGCACGCCGCTGCGGGAGGCGCTCGCCGAGGCACTCGCCACCGAGGAGGAGGCTGACTCCGAGATTCTGTTTGTGGTGCTGGCCGCCGACGGCAGTGGGCAGGAAGCCGACACACCTGCCAGCCAAACTCGCACCCATTCATGGTGATCGTTTTGCAAGATCCAGTCCCCCCCCCCCCCCCCCCCGACCCCTGATCGCGCCGCTGTTGCCAGGACGCGGGCACAGAGATCGGGCTGGCAAAGCTATCCCTCGAGGCTCTCCTCGCTGGGGGCAAGGATGCCTCCGGAGCCTCCCTCCCCATCCGCAGCGCCTCCGGTGATGCGCCAGTCGGAACACTCACTGTGTCGGTCGCCGCGATCGCAGCGATGCGGGCGCTCGCCCCTCCTCCTCCAGACGGAGAAGAGCCTCCCAAGCAGGCCGCTGCCGCCACTGCTGCAGCACCGTCCTCCCCCGCCTCGCCCGTCCCATCCACCGCCGCTTCCGCTGCCGCGGCAGCCGCGGAGCGGGCGGCTCCGACCGAAGCGCTCGTCGTGTCGCTGATGTCGCTCTCGCTGGATGCTGCGGCGGCAGCAGCGGGGAAGGCCAAGGTCCCGGCGCTCCGTGCGACGCTGGACATTCTCGGCCTCGAGCCTCAGAGCACGCCGGCACCGCTCCGGCTCGACAAGTCGCTCCACGCAGATTCTGGTTGGTCCGCCATCTTCCCGTGCGAGTCAAAGAGCCGACTGCGCAAGGTGCACGCGCCTAGATGATCAAACACGTAGCCCCGTGCTCTTGATAGTCAGTGAGGGCCACCCACTCCTGCAATTAAGGCAATGGCGGCGCAGCTCCCCACTCTCGAGCACGACGACGCCGTCGTCACCCTCACGCTCGCCATCGACGGGAAGCGAGGCGCCCCCGCCGCCGTCTACGCGACCGCGGAGGCCCTCCTCCCGGCGCTGCTCTCGCTACGCGGCGCCACCGCTGAGATACCTCTCACTGTGCGAGCCGGCGTCGGCAGCTCGTCGGACAATCGCTCTGCAGACGCAACGCAGCATCTCGGCTCGGCAGTGATGCGCCTCGCGGGCTTGCCGCTATTGCGTCGGCTGGCTGGCGTGCCTGAGCCTGAGCCCGTGGCTGAGGCTTCGGCGTCCAACGTTGGTTCGGCGTCGGGCGGTGGAAAGCTGACGGTGCGGCTGAGCGGCGCTTCGCTTCTTCCAGAGGCTGCGTCACGCGTGCCGCCGGGCGGCGCACTGGTCGTGGAGGTGGACCTGCCGGGCGACGACCCGTTGCTCCGGAGTGGCCCGGCACCATTTGGGGACGGCGTCGCGCAAATTTCCTGGGAGCACGGGTACGCCTGCCACCACGGCTCCAACCTGCACACGGCGGTGGCCGAGGCGATCCGCTCTCCGGCGCGTCGGGGACTCGGATACGGTACTCTGATGCGGTGGTGTTCCATGAGAGTTGATTAAGTGATTTAGGCGAGGGAGGACTCAGACATCCTCCTCGTTCTGCTGTGCGTCGGCGCGGACGGTGGCGCGGAGGAGGAGCTGGGCATCGCCACTCTCAACCTCGAGTCCTTGCTCCAGCGGGGCAATGACCTCGAGGACAGCGAGATGGAGGTGCGTGCAAACGGCGGGGCCGGAGGCGTCATCGGCCACCTCACAGGCTCGCTTGCCGTCCTCGAAACTTTGCGAGCGATGCAAGCGGAGGTCGGGGCCGGGTCGGCCGCTTTTGCCGCGCCATCAGGCGCCGAGAAGCCTGCGAGCGCGACTGAGGTCCAAGTGTCGGTCGGCAAGCTCACCCTCGTCAAGGGAGTCCTTGCGAAGAAGGGGGCCGCCAAGAGCACTCTGACAAAAGGGTGCGCTCACCCCAACACTCTGATCCACCGGTCGTCCACTTTGCCCTCAAAATCCTTCCTTGCGTCTCTCGAAGGCGCGCCACAGCGCAGCTGGCAGTGGAGCTGCCCGGAGAGAAGAAGCGGTCCAAGAGTGGCGCGCGGAGCTTCGATATCTGGGTCTTCGAGACCTACGCCGAGACCTGAGCGACGTGTGTCTGATACCTATATAGGCGCATCGGTGCTGCGCGACTTGGGCACGCCCCTTGCACCAGCGGGAAAGAAGTGCCAGATCGACTACCAAAAGACGTTCGACGTGGGTGACGGTACTCCAGTTGCGGCGGCACTCGCAGCGGCACTCCAGTCTCACGGCGAGGGGCGAGGCGACTCGGAGGTGAGGCTGCACGTGTTGGTCACGGAGAAGGCGGGCGAGGAGGCGCGGGAGGTCGGTGCCGCCGCCTACAGTTTGCGCAGCCTCCTCCATGACGACAAGGCCGACCTCGCCGCCGTGCCGCTGCCTGTCCTCGACACGGCAGGCGCCAAGGTGGGTGAGCTGACGGTGGCGATCTCGGCGCTGGCTGCGATGAGGGCAATTGCGGGCCGTGCGGGGGCGGTGGTGCCCGCCAATGCTCAGGCGCCGCCGGCAGAAGCTACCAAAGCGGCGCCCACCGCCTCGACGTTAGCTGCGACACCATCCGCCGCTGCCACTGAGGTGAAAGCTGCTGCGACTGCATCCACGCTTGGACCCTCCACCGACGCTCCTGCTCCTGCTGCTCCTGCTGCTCCTGCTGCTCCTGCTGCTCCTGCTGCTCCTGCTGCTCCTGCTGCTCCTGCTGCTCCTGCTGCTCCTGCTGCTCCTCTTCCTGCTACTGAGGTGCCTTTGGCTTCGACCACCGCAGAGCCCACTGCTGCGCCGCCCTCTGGCGGAGCTAGCAGTAAGGTCGATGTGGCCAGCGCCGGAATTGGAGATCTGCGCATTGCCCTATCCTCCCTCAAGCTCACCGGAAGCAGCGCGGCCGTTAGCGTTTGCATTGAGCTCGACCTGCCCGGCGAGGACGAGCCGCTTCGCTCGGAGCCTGTCCCTCTGCAGAGTGGTGCCGCTGCACTCTCCTTCGACCACAGCTACCCCATGGGGCGCGACACAGAGCTCCGAGCGGCGGTGACGGAGGCGATGCGGACCACCGACCGGAAGGACGACTCTGAGGTGCTCTTTGCCGTGCTCGGCTTCGACGCCGCCGGCGGCGAGGTCGAGTTGGGCGTTGCGAGCTACGAGTTGGAGGAGCTGCTCGAGCAGGGCCGCGACCAGCCGTCGCTCGTCCTGGACGTCACGGCGGGCAAGTCCTCCAGAAAGGTTGTGCTATCCCTGCCGCCCATCCCGCAAGGAGAGGGGCCCCACGCCGCGCCGCCGCGGCCGATCGCAAGCCCTTTCCGCCCGCCGCTTAGGTGGGCGAGCTCGAGTGCTCTATAGCGGCGCTCACTCCCATGCTCCAGATCGAGGCCGAGCTGGAGGCATCGGAGGTCGAGCTCAAGGTTGGCCCCCTCCAACTCAAGAAGCCGCCCAAGGGGAAGGAGGGCGTGAGCCTGCTCATCGATGTGGCGAGCTGCTTCTCGGCGCGCAGCGAGTCCGTTCTTCCCGCCGCTGGAGGTGCCGTCCCGATCAGTTGGTCGAAGCAGCTCGACGTGCGGCAGGGCTCGAAGTTGGCGCGTGCTCTCACTGCCGGCCTCGCCTCGCCCGACGCCGCGGCGCCCGAGGTTGTACTGCATGCAATGCGAGGAAAGACAGAGGTGGGCGTTGCACGCATCTCGCTGCGCGAGGTTCTGAACAAGGGGTACGACCTCGAGGCGGCCCAGCTACAGCTACTCGGCGCAATAGGCTGAAGCCGGCGCAATCACGGGGATCGCCTAGATCACGCGAGGTTGACTGAGCTGTAGGCGCAAAAGGCGTCGAGGTTGGCGCAATCACGGCAAGTGTCCGCGCGCTCGCAGCGCTGCGCGCAATGCGCGTGGCGGCCGCTGCTACCAACCTCTCGCTCGGCCTGAGTGGTCTGCGGCTCGAGGCGCCGCGCGCATGGCCCACGTGGGTGACGGTTGACGTGCTCGGCGCCGACGAAGCGCGTCAGGGCGAGAACCATCGGCTTGCATGCTACAATGGCTGTAAGTGTGACGCGGTCGCTGTAGGCGCGCACAGCGGAGGCGACGCCGCGCGCCGGTACGGCAATGCAACTCGGTTTCGAGCAACGGTATGCTTGCGACGCCCGTTCCCCGCTGGCAGTCGCGCTCGTTGCGGCCCAGAGCAGCACCGACGAGGCGGCTGTGCCGGCGTTGTGTCGTGGGCAACCACACTACGCTCATAGCAAATGACTGTCACGCCCATAGGAGGACGGAGAGGTGCATTTGCACGTCATGCAGAGGGACCCCGCCTCTGGCGCGGACGTGGAGGTGGGGCTCTGCCGCTACCCGCTCGGCGGCTTCGTCGCCGCGGGGGCCACCGATCCGCTGAGGTATGACCTCGCACTCTTAGCAGACAGGGCTAGTGAGGCACGATCTCCCCTTCGTGCTGTGAGTAGGCAAGACCTGAAGGTCCTCAACACGCAGGGTCAGTCCGTGGGAACCCTCACTATGACCTTGCGGGGCCAGGCAGCGCTTGCTAGCGCGCACGCGCGGGCGGCGGCGGCGGAGCGAGCGCTCGAGGTGCGACTCGAGAGTGCGCGTGTCACCTCAGCGGCTGCGCGCGATAAGCTCAAGCTATTGGGCAAGAAGTCGACGTTGGGTTGCAGCGTCGACGTGCTCGGTGCGCACGTCGACCAGGCGCCGCGGGGTAGCGTCGATGCGAAGTCGGGGGTCGCCAAGTTGCCATTCGAGAAGCGCTACTCACTCGCGCGGGGCGGCCCCCTCCGCGCGGCGATGGTGAAGGCCCTCGCCTCTGAAGACGAGTCCGACTCGGAGGTGCGCCGAGGGGCCGCATCGACGACGCGTTGACCCATCCATCAAACGCGTCCACCGACGCGTCCCTTAGGTGCAATTTGTGCTGACGGCTACCTCCAAGGACAGTAAGAAGGAGGAGGAGCTCGGGCTCGCACGTTACTCGCTCGAGGCGCTGCTCGACGCCAACCGCGAGCTCACCCGCGCCAAGCTCGACGTCAGGGCGGACGAGCGCGCGGGCTTTGCCCCTCCCTAGCGTGTGAGACGTTCACCTCACCCGACCCTTTCCTAGGCGGACGACGGAGATGGCGAGAAGGTGTGGGAGCCCAGCCACTGATGTTGCCTTCTCATCTCTCTACTCTTCCCACGGCTGCTGCTCCACCCTGTCTGTCCCTCTCTTAGCCCTCACTAGGTCGGTCCGTGTCTGCCGCTACTCTTGCCGTCTCGCCCTCACCGCACATCCTCCCACTGTCAAGGTGGCCGAAATCACGATGTCAGTGTTTGGTCTCGAAGCCCTGCGCGAAATCGACGACGAGGTTGAGGCAGCGGAGGTCGCGGAGAAGGCTCCGGTGAACGCCACGCGGCAGCGTCGGAGGGACGAACGGGGTGTCTCTGCGGTGGGCAGCGTCGTGACGGTGGCGCCGGCTAGCGCCATAGAGGCGCCCGCACCGGCACCGCCACCGGCCAGCGCAGAGCCGACGAGCCAGGCGAGCGAGAACGTGGCGACTGTGCGCGCGGCGCCTCATCCGGCGATCAATCGGCCCGCCCCTACGCCCGAACCTCTTCCGACGCCCGAGCCAACAGCAGCAGTCAAGCCTGCCCGCACCACGCCAGTCAAGGCGCCAGTCCTGCCGGGCGCTACGCCGGCGTTGCTTGCACACCGGACGCAGCTCGGTCTCAACAGCCTTGGCGCTCTGCTGGTGCCGAGAGTGGGCGGCGCGCTGGGCGGGGGCGCGCCGCTGGCGTCAGCCGCTTCGGTGGGGAGCGGAGCTGCAGACACCTACGAGCTGGTGTTGGCAGACATCAACTCAGTGCCACTGCCCAGCTCGGGTGAGGTAAGTCGCTGCACGCTGCGCCTTGCACTCGTCGAATTCATCGCCCCTCCCGCGTCCGCCGACCCGGCTGCTGAGAGTGTCTCCTTCCGGGGCAACATCCTGACTCTCCCTGTCGATTGCCGCAAGCCCGTGGGGCGGAGCAGCGCGGGCGCCACCTGGGAGATTGCAGCTCGAGATCGCACGCTACTCCTTCGCCTCCCACCACACGACGCGCCTCGTCGGCCGGTCGCGAACGTCCATCTTCTCGTGGAGCTGAATGCGACCCTCGCAGCGCTGCCGGGAGGCGGGGGGGAGAGCGGCTCGCACAAGTGCGTCACTGTGGCCCACGCGCTCCTTCCCCTTGCCCCAGTGCTGGAGGGCATGGCGGGCGGCCCTGCGGCCGAGCATGGCGCAGAGCCGCTCTCACTGCCGCTGCGTGGAGGCAACCTCTTCCAGTCGGGGCCGCTCGCCCTTCCCACCCATGCGGCGGCGGTGGCAGTTCCTCCAAGGGAACCGTCCCTCCTCCTCTCGCTCCGCCCCGCGCAGCCGGACGCGCCTGAGGCGGCGGCGGCCGCCTCACTTCCAGCCGAGCTTCTGCTGCCGGCCCTCACCGCGCCGCTCCTCGCCGCTGTGCGCGCCGTCGACGAGGCGGCCGAGCGCGACGGCGGCGAGTCGCATGTCGCGCTTTGCAGCTTCGCGGCCCTCTCGGCAACGAACGACGAAGACGTGGCTGCTACACAAGTACCCTCCCTTCACACGTACCGCTACACACAGGCGCCCGACGAGCTCTGGCTGCTGCACGACCTCTGGGAGGGTAGGCGCGCGGCGTGGAGAAAAGACAACGCGCAAGCGGCTGGGGCCGAGGTACCACCCAAGGCGACGGCCGAGCTCCCGCTTTGGCGGTTTGTAGAGGGACGCGGCCACTCATGCTCCCTGGCGTGAATAGGCGGTCGCTGAGCTCACGCTCCACGCGCTGTCGTCCTGCTCGCTGCTCTCCCGCGCGGCGCTTCCCCCCTTCGAGCCTCCCCGGAAGTGTCAGGTTGGGGAGCGCGAGGGGGCGCTCGATGCGTATCGGCACGCCGCGCTGCGGGGCCCGTTGGCTTTACTGTGTGAAGATCTACCGCAGCTGGGGTTTGCACCGATCCGCACCACAGATTTGCTTCGATGATGGGGCAAGAGTGATGGGGCCCGGTGCGTTTGAGCTCGCGACTGCAGGGTCAGGCATAGTTCGTCAAAATACTTTAGTTGTTTATCTCGCGCGTGTCGAGCATCGACGTGGATCGAGGTGTGTGCGTGTGTCATGTGTGTGAGAGAGGGCTTGAGGAGTCGTCACACACCCGTAGCCCTGTGTGGTACGTGTGGCTCTGGACACCGGCTACGTGTCCATCGCTGACGCAACTTGGTCCGTCAGCGTCAGCGGTGGCCGCGCGTGCGCGCCTAGAGGGCCGCGACGTAGGCTGTCCCCGCGCCTAGAGGGCCGCGACGTAGGCCGTCCCCGCGCCTAAAGTAGCGGTCCACCACGCCTCAAGCAGTCATGGCACGCCTCAGCGCTTTCTCATGCAAAACCCCTCGCCGGGCTCGCAGGCCCCTTGGTCAGACAGCCGGCCACGGCCACCCCAGCGTGCGAGGAGCGCTGCTGCGCCGACGACGGAGGCGGCACCGCCGGCGGCAGCGAGACGGCCGAGCGTACCAGATGCGGCCGGCGTCGCGTCGGCGCCTGGCACGCGGATCTCGGCCGCACCCGCGACGGTCCCGGGCATGGCCATCTCGCTGATGCTGAGCAGGCTCAAGCCCTTGGTGTCGTCGCGCGCCCGCTCCGCCTCCTCGTTGGCCCGTGCGATCGCCCGCTCCGCCTCATCCTCTGCCCGCACCTGGTCCCTTGCTTGCTGATCTTTGATCCAGTCGGGCAGCTCCTTGGCAATGGCGGGCTCGCGCACTGAGTCGGGCATCTCCTCATATGGCGCCGCCTCCATGTTTCCGCCCACGACCAGCCACGGGAAGCGGAAGCGGTCGGGGTGGCCCTCGTGCGGGTGCGCCTCCTCGAGCTTGCGGTCGAGCCGACTCCACTCGAAGGGCGGCTGATCATCGTAGGTCGGGCTCGAGATGACAACCATCCGGTCTGCGCGCACGTGCGCCGATGAGGTGTACTTGGCGTCGAGCGCGCCAAAGGCGGCCCGCGCGGCCGAGTCCTTGTTGAGGTCCGCCCGGCAAGCGAGCTGCTTGCACGGGTCGCCCTTGGCCACCGGGTCGGACTCGAACTGGTTGTAGCGCAGAAGCTGCTGCATATCGGCGTCGGAGCGCACGCGCGTTTGGTCGCGCCGAAAGATCTGCGCGCGCGGCGCCATCTGGTAGCTAAAGCGCTCGCCCTTGAGGCGGACCATCGCATCTTGCCCAACACGGCGCGCCGTCTCAGGGTAAACGGCGGCGTTGTACGAGGGGTAATATCCGTACGAGAGCGTGGCGGTCGCGTCCTCGAAGTAAAAAAACTCAGGCAGCTGCTCGCCGACGGTGAGCAGCCCCTCGCGGAGCGGCTTGCCGGGTACGAACTTTGCAAAGTCGACCACGATCCACGCGTTGTTATACGTACCCGAGTTGTGCCGGGCGAAGGCCTCCATCCACTCCGCGCCGCTCGTCGCTTGCTGGTTGGCCACCATTGCGCGGATCCAGTAAGGTACCGACTTGGGCGTCACGGCGCCAAAGAGAGCGTGGTTGTAGCTCGGGAGCGTGGTCTCCGTGACGGTGAGGTTGCCAACCTGGGACGGCACGGGTCGGATGTGCTGGGAAGATCGGTGGCATGTCTAAAGCGGTTGGGGAGCCGAGAGGGGGGCAGAAGGTCACTTGAAAGAAGTCATCGCCCGAGACGAGCGCGCCGGGGTATGAGCTCATCGCGATGGGTGCGCCGCGGCCAAATTCATAGCGCTTGTGCACGCGCAGCATCATGTGGTAGCCGCCCCACGTGTTGTGCCCGATGTAGAGCTCCGAACCATCGTGCGTCAGCTTGACCGCCATCGAGCAGTGCGTGCGCTCGCGGACCCACACCTCGGCCTGGTCCGCAGAGAGAGCCTGCCGGGGGAGGGGGGGGGTTGCTGGGCACGTCCCGCAGCGTCTTGGAGAGCGAAGGAGTGGGTTCTCGGAAGATCACCTGGAAGTCTGGGATAGCGGTGGCATTGACGGCGAGCGAGATATCCTCGTTCTCCCACACCGTCGACAGGCGCAGCACGTCCAACCGGCTGAGCGGCTCCACGTCCGCACCCGTCTCCTCCAGCCGCGCATTGACCCCCGCCCGCAGCCCGTCCATCTGGGTCTGCAGGAAGCGGACGGCAGACCAGTACGGGTCCGTACGCTTGGCATCTGCCGCCTTGGCACGCGTCCAATCGTCCGTCGCGACAATAAAGTCGGCGACCCTGTTCGGGTTCTCGTACATCTTCCTGTTTGCGCCGTGTCCGATGTTGGTCAAGTGCTGCACGATGCGCTCGGCGCTGAGGTAGCCCTCGAGGTAGCCGCCCCCTGCGGCAGACACATGATGGGCATGAATCTACTACAGACCGATGCCCGCAATGGGTAGGCGCTCACACAAAGGCACAACCCCGGACCCAAGATCACGCACACGACAGTCGAGAACAGACAGACAGCGACGTGATGGCGGCCTCTATGCGTGTGAGCTCTAGTTAGTGAGCTCACCAAAGGCCGCGTCATCCGACCCGTGGTCCGAGTGGCCTGCGGCAGTACGAACTAGCAGACGCGCCCAGCCGTGGGTGGAGACGCCGTCCTGCGTCACATGGCAGGGCTTGCTCAGATGTGAGAGCGGACAGGCGGCTCGAGCCGCGGGGGCAACGCTCGCCTCCCAGGAAGCAATGGCGTCCGAGCCGGGACGACCTCCCTGCTTGACGACGCAGGAGCGGTCCTCGCACTTGACGCTGTGCCACTCCACGGCGCCAGCTCCGAGCACGACGAAGGGCAGCATCGACCGTGTCGGTGGGGGGCGAACGGAAGCGCCGAGCTCAACAGGCCAGGAAGGCATAAGTACATACAATCGCGGCGTTTGTTGCTTGGTTGGGCTCGTTTGGGAAGAAACAGATTGTTCTCATGTCATAAAAGAAAACACGGTCCGCCCCCCCTGGATTCGAGCTGTTTGGGGGGGTAGGGTACGGTCGGGCCCGACCCCAGCGTTCGAGCTTGCCCGCCCTCCAGCGGTCATGGCATCGACCGACGCTCTCGAGCTGAAGGTGGCATCGCTAGAGGCCAGGCTCAAGGCACGTGAGCTCGAAGCCACGGTGGCGTCGCTCGAGAAGAGACTAGCGGGTCCGAGCGGCGAAAACAAACAGGAGACGAAAGACCGGGCTCATAAGGCGATGCGGGAGGCAGTCAGGGCATTCGACCACCAACTTCGAATATTTGGCACCTTTGGGGCCGTCCTTCAGATCTCTGCGCTACTGCTGTCCCTCGCCATTGCGCTCTCCTCTGCTCTCCTCGACGAATCTAGCGCTCGCGTGTCTGCCACGGTCCTCGCCGCTGTCTCCTCTTTTTTGCTGGGAGTCGACGTGACGTGTGGTATCTCAAAGCAAGCCGCCTACGCCGACAAGAGCTCCCGCACGCTCTCATCCATCCTCAAGAAGTGCGAGGGCGGCACGCTCGACGCGACTGTCGTGCAAACGGAGCTCGATCATGCGCTGCTGCAGCCGGAGCCTTCGCTGCTAGCGAGAGCATGCGGCTGCTGCAGCGTCAGTAATAGTCGGGTGGCCGCTCGCGACCTTCCACGCTGACGGATGCTGGCCCACTGACAAGTAGCAGGTCGCTCCTCAAAGGTGGGGGACCGACGATTCGAGCCACTGACTCCTTGATATAGCGCGTCAGTTAAGGTACTGTTATGAGTCATGCGTCCGCACGGACTCTCTATATCGGGGTCGATCTCGATGTCTCCGCCACCGGCGACAGCCGGTCGGAAAATTACACTTGTATTACAACTTGTAACATTTTTATTACGTACGGTAAACGGGACAGCTCAACGTCGCCGGCGGAGTCGCCGCGCCACCCCCCCCGCGTTGTGTGTCCACGAGCCATCTCAGAAAGCATAGCGGGTGGGTAGGCCCTAAAACGGCGGGACGGGTAGGGCTATATCGACAGAGCTAGAGGGCTCAACCACCCCTCCACCCCTCCACCTTCCACCCCTCCACGACCCTCCCGGAGCGAGAGAGGTCCGTCTTCGAGCCCTCCCACTTCCACCCCTCCGACCGGAGGGCGGAGGGCTCGCCAGCCCACAGGGCTGGAGGGGTCCCCGTCGGATCGGCGTCGGGAGGGCTCCACAGGGCTAAACCCCTCCTCGGACGCCGGGTGGGCTCGGAGGGACGGTCGGACAAGGGAGGATCTTCGTGGCGGGAGGGCTCGAGAGGGGTCGGAAGGGCCCTCCGGGAGGGGTCGCAAAAAGATAAAGAAAACGAAGTCGCGGCTTATGTGACTGCCCCCCAAGAGGGCTCGGAGGGCTCGGAGGGCTTGGAGGGCTCCCCCGTAGGGCTCGGAGGGGTCTGGAGGGCTCGGGCGCCGTTAGAGCCCTCCGAGCCCTCCGAGTTCCCCGACCCCGGCTCGCAAGCTCGCCTCCGAAACCGACCCCTCCGAGCACTCCATCCGAGGGTCGGAGGGCTCGGAGGGCTCGAGCTTCGGCCGAGCCCTCCAGACCCCTCCGAGCCCTACTGTGGAGCCCTCCAAGCCCTCCGAGCCCTCCGAGCCCTCCGAGCCCTCCGGGCACTCCATCCCTTGTGAGCCCCCCCGAGCCCTCCCGAGCCCACCAGCGCCAGACCCTCGTGCCTCTCTGCCCTCCGAGCCCTCTCCGAGCCCTCCGAGCCGTCTCCAGACTCTCCAGACTCCACCTCTCCGCAAGCCCTCACGAGCCCTCCTACGCCTCGCTTTTGGCCAGCTCTCCCAGCCCCCACCCCTCCGAGTGCCCTCCTGGGCCCTGCCGCCTGACACCTCTATCGGTGGAGGGCGTTAGGTCACGGTACACACTCCCGCCCTTCCGACCCCTCGGCGCTCCACACCCCTATAGGCTACAGCGGCACCCCTACCCCTCCCGCCGTTTTAGGGTCTCCTGACCCGCACTCTCAGAAAGGGCAGCCGTCGCCGTGTGCGGCGCTGAGGCGCTGTAGCCGCTCGAGCGTGGACTCAAGCGGCGGTGACCTCGCACGCTCCCCCTCGACGCACGCACGCAGCGCCGCTAGGCCGGATTGGCCGCCGCCGCCACCCCTCCCCCTGTCGCCGCCGTCGCCGCGGCGCCGCCAACACGCGTGCTGCCACGCGGGCTCGCCTCCGCTGTACGTCGCGAGGACGGCACTCTGCCAAATGTCGCGGTCGGGCACGCTCTGCTCGTCGAGGATGTCGCGGTCGAAGGCCACGAAATCGGCGAGGAAACCGTCGGCGATCTGTCCGAGCGACGCCTCCTTGAAGGCGGCAAAGGCGGCGTCGGCCGTGTAGCCGCGGAGAGCCTGCGCGCGGCTGACGCACTGCTGTGCCAGCCAGCCGCCCTCGGGGTGGCCGCGGAGGTCCTACAGCCGGAGGTGCAGCCGAGGTGCAGCCGGAGGTGCAGCGGAGGTGCAGCCGAGGTGCAGCCGAGGTGCAGCCGAGGTGCAGCCGAGGTGCAGAGGAGCTCTCCTCCCGTGTCACGGCCGCGTAGATTCCGAGCAGCGGCGGCACGACGCCGACTGTCGGCCAGTCGGAGCCGAAGGGGAGCGCGGCCGCGCCGGTGTCGAGGACGCTCTGCCATGCGTACGCGCCTCGCAGCCGCTCTCTGCCGAGCCGCTCCTCGGCGAAGGCCATATCCGACGTGGCGTGCGTCGGCTGCATCGACGCGAGGATGCACGCACTGCCGCCGCCGTGCCTCTCGCCGGGCTGGCGCACGCGCGGCAAGTCGCTCGCGTTGACGACCTGGAAGTGCTCGATCCGCAAGCGCAAATCCGGCGCGCCGCTCCCGCTGCCGCCGCTCTCGCACGCGGCTTCGTAGGCGTCCAGCACGAGCCGGTTGGCGCGGTCGCCGATGGCGTGAGCCGCAAGCTGCCACCCGGCGCCAGCCCACTCCTTGGCCGCCTTTTTGAAGTCCTCCTCGCGCACGCGCAGCTGGCCGCGCTCGAGCGGCGCGTCGGAGTAGTTTTGCAGCATCGCCGCGCCGCGCGAGCCGAGCGCGCCGTCGACAAAGAACTTCACGGCCTGCACGCTGAGCCGGCCCTTGTAGTCGCGGATCTTTGGCGTGGACGGCGTGGCGAGGCGCTCTCCCAGCTCGTTCCCATTGGCTAGCACCATCGCGTACGAGCGGAGCGGGAAGGCCCCCTCGTCGATGAGCTCCTTCAGAAGCGGCACCTCCTCGAGCCCAATGCCTAGGAGCGAGCGCAAAGGCTGCCTCTCTTCCTCCCTCCCGACTATGTCTCGTCTACACCTCGCCTGGGTCGTGGATCGCAGTCAGGCCATGGCGCGAGAGGCGCGCCAGCGCGAGGCGGAGTGCGGAGAGGCTCTCGTTCCTGCTCGGCCGAGGCACGCGCGCCGCGACAAGCCGCATCGCCGTGTCGGTGAAGACGCCAGTCGGCTCGCCCGTCTCTGGGTCTCGTACGATACGCCCGCCCTGCGGGTCCGACTTTGGGAGCTTCGGGACGCGGCGTAGCGCCTCGGAGTTCGCCCACGCCGCGTGGCCGTCAATGGACCGAGCCACACCGGCGTGTGCGGAAAGGCGCCGTCGAGATCCTCCCGAGTCGGGTAGACCTTGCCCGGGAAACGCTCCTGGTCCCAGCCAAAGCCTTGCAGCCAGCCACCGGGCGGCACCGGCCGCTTGGCCACGTGCGCCAGGAGGATGCTCACGACCTCGGCAGCCGACGAGGCATTGTCGAGCTGCGGCCGCGCAAGCTTCAGGCCGCCGTAGAGGAGGTGCAGGTGCGAGTCTATTAGTCCGGGCACAACGACCGCGCCATGGAGGTTGACACGCGCTGCCGAGGCACCGCAAGCCGCTGTCGCGACAGCCAGGCTGCCGACACCTGAGAAGGCGCCGTCTATCACGCACCACGCGGCGGCCGAGGGTGCAGTGGGCGAGACGGTGTGCACGACGGAGGCGTTGAAGAAGAGCGTGCGGCCCGAAGAGGAGGCAGCTTCGAGCGACAGCCTCCCGAGGGACATGGACATGAAGAGGATGTGTGGGCTCCTTCGCACATACAGGGTGAGAGAGACACACACATACAGGGTCGACCGTTCGCATGTTTGCAGAAACTAGTGTGGGACCTGCCGCGTTACCCGCCTCTGTTGTTCGGGCAGTGAGAGACGCAGGATCTGCACGCGAAGTGGGCTCCACTCCGCATTTGCATTTTGGTTTTGGGTGTCGGAGATCATCCATCGCAAGCATTGCTAAAAATCTCTCTCTCGCAAGCACTCATCAGTCAGCTCGGAGCCGCACGCGATGCTGCGGGCGCCGTTGGCTCCGTGCCTAAGGCAGATAGATTAGGGTGTGAGCTGCGGCAGCCAGTCGGAGGCCGCGATGGATGGCCCAGGGCCGGCGGCGGTGAAGGCGTCCGTCGATGAAGGGATGTCGTCGAGGGAGCCATCGTCCTCCGCGGCTGGTGCACCAGTCCAGTTGTCGGAGTTCGAGATCGCAGTCGCCCGTTGACGAACTCACGGAATGTGAGCGACTTGGTGCACGCTGGGTCGAGCATCATGACCCGCATCTCATCCTGGGCGAGTAACTCGCCCAGGGACCAGCTGTTGGCGTCGCCGTTTTGATCGAGCTGCATCCAAAAGGTGCATGGTTTCGTAGTCAAGCGTAAACGCCCAGGAGTTGGTGCCTGGGTGACTTGCTGATGAGAGCGCCTTCCAGGCGGGCAGTCGTGCCCCTCACCTACGGCCATACGGCGGCGTCAGAGGGGGGGAAGGGGCGCGAAGCGTGAACATGGAGGCAAGCAGGTGGTGGGCACCTGGCCAAAGCCGGCGACCTCAAAGTTGTCGTGATATCGCTGAGCGTGAGAGGGACCGGATCGGCAGCAGCACGGGAGGAGTCAGCGGCCGGAGAGGCCGGAGAGCCATCCGACGGAGGCCGGTCGTGCATCGGCGCGTCGGCCGTAGGGGCCGTAGGGGCGGCATCCGTCGCTGCGGGTCGCTGCGGGCCGACGATTGTGGACTGATCGATCGTGGCGGGCGGATTTCGGCTGGGACTTCTACGGTTAAACCAAGAGCGTCGGCGCCGACACGAGAGACTTATAAGGGTAGAAAACGCCCGCCGGCCTCACTCACTGTTCTTCACCTTCCTACATACATACATACTCACGTGCCTAACAACATGCGCATGCACATGTACACACGGCGGCTCCGGCAGCGGCACCTCTCGATCGGTTCCACTTTCTAGCACACCCGCGACGCACAGCGGGTCTCATAGATCACATAACCTCTCACGAGACACACCGGGGAAGGAAGGAAGGGGCGCTTGGGAGCGGGAGCGGGGGCGGGGGCGGGGGCCGGGGCGGGGGCGGGGGCGGCGGCGCGCAGCGCGCGGCATAGGGGCGGCGCGACGGAGGGTAGGGCGTAGGGGTGGGGACGCTGCTGTGCGCTGCGGCCTGCGCGCACCACACCACACACGGAGGGAAAGACGGCGAGCGAGGAGGGGCGGCGGCGGCAGCGCGCGCGCGGCGCGCGCGACGGAGGGGCGGAGGAGAGTGTGTGTGTGTGTGTGTGTGTGTGTGTGTGTGTGTGTGTGTGTGTGTGTGTGTGTGTGTGTGTGTGTGTGTGTGTGTGTGTGTGCGCGTGCGTGTGTGTGTGTGTGTGTGTGTGCGTGCGTGCGTGCGTGCGTGTGTGTGCGTGCGTGCGTGCGTGCGTGCGTGCGTGCGTGCGTGCGTGCGTGCGTGCGTGCGTGCGTGCGTGCGTGCGAGCGTGCGTGCGTGCGTGCGTGCGTGCGTGCGTGTGCGTGTGCGTGTGCGTGTGCGGCCACCCTACTTTAATATTTCGCGATATTTTTTTCAACGCGCTGAGGATACGCACGTGCCCGACACACACATGGCTGAGGTCGAATACGCCGACGCTCTCAGGCAGCACCTTGTGGCAGCACTGAACGAGGTTCTCGCCGCAAAGCCCGACGATCCGTTCAAGTCGCTGCAAAAGATCCTGTTCGCTGCGTCGCTCGGAGACGGCACACCTCCCGAGGCCTCGCCGGTCGCGCAAGATGCCGACATGAAGGAATACCTTGCGAAGTTCGGTGTGTGCCTCCATGCGCACCGCTCGTCACCACCACTTTCGCCGCCGCCGCTCGCGCCGCGCTTGTCCCCGCCGGCTCCCGTGCTGCGGGTGTACATGCTGCGGCATTCGCTCTCGTGGCATCCTCGCTCCGTCCCTGCAATGCCACCACCTCTGAGCAGCCTCTCTCTCCACACCGCCCATCTGCGAGCATGGGCGCACCACCCACACCGCCCATCTGCGAGCATGGGCCTCACCACCCGCCCTGTCCACCGCCCTGGCCAGACCTCGAGACGCACATCGCCGACGTGATCGCGAAGAAAGGCAAGGGGTCGGGGCCGATGAGCGGCGTCAAGTTCATGATCTCCGACGCGGGCGACTTCTTCACCGAGCTCTCGAAGAAGCTCAAGGCGGCCGGCGGGCAGCCGATGACGGCGGAGGAGCTCAAGGCGATGGACGCGGCGGCGGCCAAGGCCAAGCGCGAGAAGGACGCGCGCGAGCAGGCGGAGCGCGACGCCAAGGACGCGGAGAACGCCAAGAGGGCGGCCGAGATGGAGGCGCAGGGCAAGTCGGTGGGGGGCGGCTTGCACAAGTTCGACAAGTCCGAGGTGGACGTCAACGGCGGCACGGCCACGGCCGACGACTTCATGGACGCGTTTGGCTTCTAGCGCCTCTCTCCCTGTCTGCACGTCAGGGCACGAACAGCCCCCTCCCTTCCCCCCCCCTCTCTTCTGCAATCGCTTCTGACTGACATGGTATTCTTAACTGCGGACATATACTTACTGCGCAGCTAGAAGAGTGTCGCCGGGCACGCACCTTCCTTACTGCGCACCTTGTCACACACATGTGTGACAGCCGTACTGGCTCTGTCTCGAGTGCGGCGCGTAACCGTTCGCACACTCTCGCGAGCACTCGCCTACGTTCATGAATGCAATCCACATGGCAAAGCCACACATCGATATACAATAATACAAAATCTGCGCTCTCTCGTCTCTGTGCCACACCCACAGTCTCGTTGTGACATAGACAACCAAGCGTCAAGGCTCAAGGCTCAAGCTCCGCATGGCGCACATGTCGGGCGGAGAGGCACATGAGCGCCGGCCCCGCCGAAATAACGTCTTATAGAGCAGTTTGTTTGTCGTAACGAGGACCAAAATGCAAAAACTCTCTCTCCAGACACCACACAGATCACAGTCTCGCGCGGTCTCAGCTCTCTCTGAGACTCGTCGCTCGCGAGAGACGAGTCCCCGGACACCGGCGAGAGCGGAGTCGCGGATTGATGACGGTGACGAGTCAGGGTACACGTACACGCGCGCGAAGAAGCATTCACAAAAACGTGTATCTAGATATGCGACGGGGGAGCTTCGAGCTCCGACGCACCGAGAGAGGGTCGCCGGCCCTATAGCGGGGTAGGCCGGGGGCGCGCGCGGCCGCGAGGGCGCTCGACCGCTCGTGCGCGACACACATGCGCGTGTGCCACCCTCTCCGCCGCTGTCATGTGTCAAGCAACGCTCTCCAGGCGTCCGCTCGGACTCGCTGCTCCGCTCCCCCGCACCAGCACAAACAAATCCTCGCCGCGCCGCTCCCTCCCCGCGCTTGCCACTTCCGTCAGGCCGGGCGGCGTCATCGGCCCGTCGCACGGCTGCCACGACACGCCGCGAAAGCCCGCCCCCCACCGGCTGTTTGGCACGCGGACGGGCTCGCACCCCTCCGGCCGCACCACCGGCACCGCCGTCGCGCGGAAGCGGTCGAGCCGCCGCAGCAGCCGCGCCACGTCGGCCGGCCTTTCCGCCGCGAGGTCGTGGTACTCGCAGGCGTCCGCAGTGACGTTGAAGAGGCAGTACTCCTCCGCGCACTGCCCCGCCTACGCACGCGGCGGACACGTCCCGGACACGTCCGCACCTTGCGCTGGGCCCGTCCCAAGGTGATCGCCTCCGCGGCGCCGACACGGAGGGAGCGGTCGCACCGCTCTCCGACGGCGTAGCGCGTGGCGGTGCTGTCCTCGCCCGGCGGAGGGTGCCACCTGCGCGGCACGTCGAGCAAGAGTCGGTGTCGTGAGCGAGTGGCCCTCGCCTGGCGGGGCGGGGCGAGCGCCCGTCCTCCTCCGCGGGGTTGACCTTCCCCGTCCGGATGAGCTTGAGGTCGCCCAACACGAGTGCGTCCCCTAGCGTGTGCGCAAGCGGCATCTCAACTGGTACTTGCAACAGAGCGGCTCGCCCGCCGGACGTTTCGCCGTGGGAGTGCGGCGCCCAGCGGTCGCCAGGGTGCACCTCGTACAGCAGCCAGTCGCGCGCCGACGAGCCGGGCGCGCCGCCCGCCCGCAGCATCGGCCAGTTGTCGACGCCGTCGCCCTCGAGGTACGGCGCCTCGCCGGGCGGGATGGAGGCGGTCCACGGCCTGCCCCAGAGACACACAGGCGTCAAGCCGAGGCCAGGCCGAGGCCAGGCCGAGGCCGAGGCTAGTCCGGGGTCAGGCCGAGGTGCGGGGGCGAGAGGTGCACGGCCTGCCGGACGCCATCGCCACGAGGGTCGGCAGCCAGTCCGTCGCGTGCAACTTCTCGTAGGAGACCTGACGCACGGCGGGCGGCGTGAGCGGTGCCACCGCAGCCCGTCTGCCGCCGCTTCTCGCAGCGTCGCTCGCCGCGCCGCGAGGGATGCCGGGGCCGCGCACAGCGCCAACCACGCGCGTGCCTCCCTCCCAGAGCGTGTTCTTGCCGCCGCGCAGAGGGAAGTTCGAGCTCCACGTCCCCTCGTTGCCGTTAGTCGGGCCGCCGTTGTCGCTCGAGAAGAGGACGAGCGAGTCGTCCCACATGCCCCGCCGCTTGAGCGCCGCCGTCACCTGCCCCACGCCGTCGTCGAGCGCCTTGGCCATCGCACACACAAGCTGCCGCCGAGTGTCGCCGCCCGTCCGCCCGCGGTACCGGTCAACGTACTGCGGCGGCGCCTCGAGCGGCCAGTGCACCGCCTGGTACGGCAGGTAGAGGAAGAGAGGCCTCCGAGGAAGAGAGCCTCCGAGCCCGCCGCCGCCGCCGAAGCCCTCAATCACCCGGACCGCGCGCGCCGTCATCGCCGCGGTCGAGTAGGTCCCGTTCAGCTCCACCGCCGGGCGCAGCGTCACTTCCGCCGCAGCCGAGCCCGCCTCGTGCCGCGCGTCGTCGTTGAAATCGTAGGCGCCGAGCGTGTCGTGCGTGACGTAGTCCTCCGCGCCAGACCAGTAGCCGAGGTACGTCTCGAAGCCGCGCCCCGTCGGCAGCGCGGCGAGCACATTCTGCCCGAGATGCCATTTTCCGACCATGTGCGAGCTGTAGTTGCAGCACCGCCGCAGATACTGCGGCAGCAGCGAGTAGGACAGGTTGAGCCGCAGTGGCGTGCCCTGCCGAAACGGCATGTAGATGCCCGTGTGGATGACGTGCCGGCCTAGCCAGCATGGGCACAAGTACACCGGCGCCGGGAGAGCGGTGTGCAGCATCGGCCGGCTCACCGCTCATAAAGGTGGCGCGGGACGGGCTGCAGACTGGCTGCACATGGTAGTTCATCAGGGTGATGCCATCGGCGGCGATGGCGTCGATGTTGGGCGTGCCTAGTCGGCGCGAGTGATGTGCAGACTGCGTGCTTCACTTGCTTCACCCAAAGAGCAGTCAGCAGAGAGCCGCACCAATCTGGTTCGAGCCGTGGAACGAGACGTCGTTGAAGCCGAGATCGTCGCTAACGATAAAGACGATGTGCGGTGGGCGTGATGTCGCGAACGGGAGCAGGCTGAGAACCGACACAACACAAAGAACAGTCATTCGGGGCGTGGTAGACTAGCAGCTAGCGACCGGGTGCATACGTCAACGCCGATTTGGGTTCCGGCTCCTGCCCATGTGCGGATCACAGCCTCGAGGGAGGGGGGGGGGGGCGGGCCTCACCCAGAACTCACCGGGGCCCGGCCATCCCCGCCCCCTCCCTCACCTGCCCCACCCCGGGGCCTCACTCGCGATGCGCCGTCCCGGGGGGGTAGCTCGCTGCCCGACCCCAGGGCACCCCACACACGGCGCTTACGGGCGGGCCACGCGCACGCGGCCCCGTACGCCTACCGCGCGCCCCCGGCCCACCAGCGCCACGCCCCGAGGCGAGGGAGAGCGGCCCGTGCGGCACCACCGCTCACACAGAACAACACAAACTACAAATCAACTAAACGGGTGACCCCACTCTACTCTGCACAGACAGTCCGCACTGCTCCAAACGCACATCTCTACCATCTACCGATGCGGACGCAAAAAGCGCGCCTCGGCGAGACGGATCGCGTCACTTTGCCTGGGCCTGCTGGAATCGCCGCACGCCAGCGCTGCGTGATGATCTGGTCCCAGTTGTCCATAGGCTCGGTTGTGTCGTCTGTGTATCTACGCGAGTAGATCCGGGTGTGTTTCGCGCGCGCGCCTAAGTTGTGACCACAAATCCCGCCTAAAAAATGAAAAAGCAAACCCACGCTCCGTACGAAAGTACGAAAGAGCTGAATGGGCGGGTCGGATGCCGGGAGGCGGGGTGGGGGGGGCCAGGGGGGGGGGGGGTTGCTTGCAATACTCGAGTACAACGAGGAAGAGCTTGTACCCCTATTGGCTAGGTAGGGGTTGGAGGTGGCCCCCACCCACCCTGGGGCCGTCAAAGCACAAAGGGACTGCGGCAGAAGACGCCCAATCTTGCACGCGTGCAAGAACCACACTCACTGCTGTACAACGAGGGACCGATTCTGTGAGGCCAAGGTTTTCGATTAGAGCTTGTACAACGAGGAAGATCTTCACAGCGGCGGCGGCGGCGGCGGCGGCGGCGGCGGTGGCGGTGAGGCCGAGGGCGATCCAGCGGCGAGAGGCGTCGACGTCGTGCAGCAGCAGCAGCTGTGAAGGAGGGCCTTCTGAAAGGCTGGCTGCGATGCGGCCTGCCAAGCCGCGTCGCGAGCTTGTACCCCTATCCCGGTAGCAAAATGGCGCTGCTCTCGCGCGTACCCCTCACATTCGCATTATCTGGCGCTGCCCTCGCCGCGGCGTCGTTCACGCTCGGCGCTTTGCTCAATCGGCGGCACGGTTTGCTGCGCCTCAAGCTCAAGCTCCTCGCACGTGCGAAGCGCACTCTCGTGCTCTCGCGTGTGCGCGTGCCACGGTCGCTGCTGCCGCCTAGCTCCTCCTTTGTCAGTGATGCCGAGGGCCTCGTGGACTGCGACGTGCACATCTTGGATGGGAAGATCTCCGCGATCGACGCCGGTCAAACCGTGGGTCCAAAGTGTGACGCGGGAGGCAGCATTCTGCTCTCCTGCTTCACGGACGCGCACACCCACATGATCAAGACGCACGGCCACCCGCGCACGCGCAATCCAACGGGCAGCATCAACGACGCTCTGCGGGTGGAGCTCATTGATCAGGAGGCAAACTGGCTATCGGAGGAGGACGTGTACCGCCGCATGGACTTTGCCATCGCGACCGCTTACCACTATGGGACGCGCGCGATGCGCACGCACCTCGACGGCACCAACAGCCCGGACGCGCAGCTGCGCGCCACCGTGTACACGGCTTTCACCAAGCTGCGCGCCAAGTGGGCAGCCAAGGGCGTCTGCCTCCAGGGCGTGGCCAACCTCTACCTGCCGCTGTGGGGTAAGCCCGCCCTCGCTGAGCCCCATCTGGAGGAGGCGATGAGCCATGAGGGCGTGCTCCTCGGCGCCTACTGCGGCAACGTCAACGGCACGCCGTTTGCCGAGACGGAGGCGCACCTGGACGCACTCTTCGCGTACGCGCACGCGCACGGCGTGCAGGTGGACTTGCACATCGACGAGACCAACGACCCACAGTGCTGCTGCCTGCAGCCCCTCGTGCACTGCCTCCGCAAGGCGCGCGCCAACGGCTACACGAAGCCCGTGCTCCTCGGCCACCTCACGGCGCTCTCGCTGCAGACGCCGGCTGTGCAGCGTGAGGTGGTCGCGGGCCTCGCGGCCCTCCGCCCGCTGACGGTCATCGTGCACCCGGCGACCAATCTTGGCTTGCAGGACCGGCGCGGCTCGATGCCGCCGCACTGCGTGGAGATCGATGCCGACACGCCGCGCACGCCGCAGTGGCGTGGCCTCACGCTGGTGCAGGAGCTCGCCGCGGCGGGCGTGTGCGTCGCCGCGGCGAGCGACAACGTGCGCGACTGGTGGCACCCGTATGGCGACTACGACGGGCTGCAGAACTGGAGGATGGCGATCACGCTCGGCCACCTCGACACGGTCCCCCACGAGGGCGCGTGGGCACAGCTCGTCTCAGACGCGCCCGCCCTCGCCATGGGCCTCCACCCCGCGCCGGGCGCCGACGACGGCGCCTGCGCGACGGGCGGCGGCGAGGGCGCCGCGCCGACGAGCGCGCTGTCCAACGTGCCGGCATCGATCGCGCCCGGCGCCGCGGCCGACCTGATCCTCTTCCCCGACGCGCGGCGCCTCTCTGAGCTGCTCTCGCGGCCGCAGCTCGACCGCATCGTCCTGCGCAGGGGCCGTGTGCAGGAGTCGACGCTGCCGAGCTACGGGGAGCTTGACGACCTGGTGAGCGCGCCGTCGCTCGTGCAGCCCCAAGGCTCAGGCACGGTGATGATGGACCTCTCGGTGCAGCGCGGCGCGACGACGGGCGCCAAGTGAGCGCGCGGAGACCGGAGAGCACACGAGGCACGGAGCGAGAGCGCGCGGGCGAGGGAGAGGCGCAGCCGGAGCAGCGCGTGGCTGCGGCTGAGGAAGCGGCCTGCGGCGGCACCCAGCGCGATGCCGGCGGCGATGCGACGGCTGCGCGATGGGAGATCAATTAGTCTGGTGGTCGCCGGCACGGCGAGGAGGCCGAGATATCGGAAGCAGCCTCCGGCGGCGGTGGACGCGAGCCAAACCGCTTGTGGACCCCACCCATGCGGATTTCACGCCTTTTGCCCTCAGAGAGGGCGCTTGTAGAGCACTGCCTGTGAGGACTGAGGTGCAGAGCGCTAGAAAGCTTTGTGCGGCTCAGAGTCAATCCGCCTCAGTGTCCTGCGCGCGGGTTGTCGTCCTCGATGTGACACACTTGTCTCTCAGATGTAGAACGCGATCGATGCGCGCGATCGTTCCCCGCCACACCCACAGTGAAACCACTCTGATCTCTTTCAAGGTGCATGTTTCTCTCAAGATCAAGTACCGTAATCGCAAAATCGGCCGCGCACATCGTGTACAAGTAAATCGCGTCAACGCCACCTCTCGCATATGTGTGTAATAAATTGAAGACGCAAGATGTCACATAACACAATTCGGTCTCAGAGCGCGACAGCGCGTGCCCACACAGACATGCACACGTCCCAAGGAAGCTACTGCTACTGACATGATGATTCGAGACCCCGCCTCTACTTTACCGTTCGAGCTCTATAACTCGTACACCAAACGAGAACCGCTGTCGTTGAGCCCAACTGCGCCCGGCGCCGCCCCGTTGTGATACACCTCCCTGTCCCTCGCCCCCTCCATTCCCTCAACGCGCCTTCTCGTCGCTCGGCGCGTCCTCGAACATGGTCATCCCCTCCCGCAGCTGCTGCGCGCGCATCGCATAGGCGAGCGACGCCTTCGCGGTGAGCGCGTGCTTCACCCGCGGGAAGAGCGGGTTCGCCTGCGTCGCACGAGGCGGCGTGGGGAGGGGGCAGCACAGCGCCGTGCGCCGCGGTGGAGACGCGGCGGACTCGCCTCCGCGTCGGCCTCGATCGCCCTCCACGCGTCCTGCCGCTCCTCGCGCCGCGCCTACTCTCGGCACATCTCGGGTGATCTCGGACGGAGTCAGGGGGCTGCCGCCTCTTCGCGCCGCGCCTGCTCCCTCTCCTGCGCCGCCTGGTGCGCGGCGGTGCACTCGTCGAAGAGGCGCGGGTCCATCTCCATGAAGAGCTTGACCACGTTGCAGGTGAGCCCGTGCACCGTCTGGCGGGCGGAGGCGCAAGCTGGCGCGTGGAGGGGGGGGGGGGGCGTGGCGGGCCGCGCCGGGTCTCGCCTGGTTCCAGTGCGAGTTCGAGTTTGCGTGCAGCGCGCCAAACACGATCGGCAGCACCTGCGGCCCACCGCCGGCACACTCTGACGGCCCAGCAGTGTGCCAGCTGCGCGAGGCGGGCAGGGCGCGAGGAGGAGCGGCGGGCGCCTCTGCGCGGTGCTGCGCGATGAGCGAGACGATGTACTCATTGTTCCACAGAAAGAGGGCCCGCTCGGCCACCTGGAAGTGCGGCGACTCTATGCAGCGCGACACCTGCGCGAAGAGAAGCAGCCGAGGTGATGCCGAGCTGATGCCGAGGTGATGCCGAGGTGATGCAGAGGTGATGCCGAGAGCCGAGATGTCGCCGAGCTGCCTCTGCCACCTGCGCGAAGAGCGGCGCCATCACCGCGGCAAACTCTCGCGCGTCGACCATCTCCAACACCTCCTCGAGCTCGTTCAGCAGCAGCACCTTCCAGTCCCGCGCAGGGTGAGCCAGTCCCTCCCCCCCCGCCCCCGCCCCTCCCCCGGGCCAGTCTCTCCCCTCTTTGTAACAGGGGCGGCTGTGCTAGCCCTCGTCGGGCTGGCGCTTCGCCTCCTTCGGCGAGTGCGTGCACGGCCAGAACTTGAGGATCGCCTCGAGGACCGGCTTGGCGAGCTTCGGGTCCTACAGCAGCGTGACGGCGGCCGTCGAGAGGCGCGGCATGCGAGGCGGCGCGTGGCGCGCGGCGGCGGCTCCTTCTCAACAAACTGCGAGACGCAATACGAGAGCTGCTGGTGGTACATGCCGATGAAGCGCACCTTGACGAATAATTCACCAATGAATTACTACGAGAGCTGCTGTGGTGGTACATGCCGGTGAAGCGCACCTTGTGGAGCGGGAGCAGCGCGCGGTGCAGGAAGAGCATGTGTTCCTCCTTGAGCGGCAGCGCGAAGCCGTTGATGATCGAGCCCAGGATCTCGAGAAGCTCGGCGATGCCGTTGTGCCGCTCCGTCTCGTACACGAAGGTGTAGAAGATGTTGTTGATGGCCTTGCGGATGAAGGCGCGGTAGGGCATGAACTTGCCGTAGATGCGGTGCAGGATCGTCTTGAGGTAGTCTCGCTCGCGCGGGTCCTGGTGCGCGGGGGTGTGGCGGGCGGAGAAGGTGAGAGCAGGCGTCGTCTCGAGTGTCGGTCGTGAGCACGGGGTGCGGGTGTTCGGCATGCTGGGGCGGCGAGCTTCCTCGGAGTCGAAGAGGTCGATGAGCTTGAGAAGGAAACGCGTGTCGAGGTACCGCTTGACCGCCTTCGGGTCCGCCTCGCTCGAGACCACGAACCTACTCGCGCAGCCAGAGAGGCCAGGTGAGAGACTAGCCACCCCTTGGCTGGAGCTCGAGGCGGCGCGAGCCGGAGCAGGAACTCGTACACGTACTGCAGGTGCGGCCACGCGGGCTCGAGCGCGGGCTCCTCCTCCTCCGGCTCGAGCTGCGCCCGCGAGCCGGACGCCGCCAGGCCTGTCACGCGCTGCAGCTGTGAAGAGAGCCGCCCCGCCTCACAGCGAGCTCGTCACCGCCCTCCGCCCTCGTCACCATCCCTCGCTCGGCAGCAGTGGAGGCTGGCTGGTGGTGCGCTCGGGACAGGGACGGTGATGGGTCCGCCGTCGTAGCCGAGTCTGTGCGGGCGGGCGGGGCGGCCTCACCGCGGAAGAGGTTTGCTGCAATCATGTGAACGACGTCGGGGTAGGTGCGCTCGGAGAAGGCGCCTGGTGCGCATGGGACGGAGTGAAGCGTGCGGCTGCCGGTGGTGGCACGATCAGTGAGCGGCTCGGCGGTCACCCTTGGTCGAGTTGATATAATCCATGAGCTCCAGGAGGGTCTGTCGCTTTATCTCCTTATCGCGCGCGTCGATCTGCCCGTTCGTGAAGTCCATCGGCCACGAGCACAACTGAAGCTTCTTGAGGAAGAGCGCCCGCCGCTCAGAGGCATCGCGAACCTCTTTGAAGGCTGGCAGCTGCTCGAGCTTGGCGGGCGGGGCACCAGCCCCGCCGGAGCCGCCAGAAGAACCGGCCATACAGTACAATTGTAGGGGGACCGCACTCGCCGTGTTAGGAGCGCGGGCTGCGAAGCACCGGCTCTGGTTCGGCACAATTTTCTTCTTTTCTCTTTCCAGAGGGGTGGTTGAGGGGTTGAGGGTTGAGGCCCCCCCTCAACCATCTGGTTGACGGTTGAGACCCCCCCTCAACCCTTTAGTTGAGGGTTGAGGCCTCCGGGGCCTATTCACAGGCTCGAGCGTGATCACAAGATAAACTGGAAGAGCCTGCCGCCCAAAAAATCGCTTCGCCTGCGGCGCGCTCTTGCGCTCCTCGGACCTCGAGCGCAATCCATAAGTAGGAGACGCTCACTGTCGCCATTCAGGCGCCTGATCTCTCAGCAAAGCGATGGCCTACTCGAGTACCTGGTACGAGTTCAGATGCGCGCCCGGCAGAAGACGCGTGTTGATGCCGCATGCAGTGGAATGCGCACAGAGAACGGACGGCAAGAGAAGGCAAGGGAAGGAGGAGAAACGGCTGGTGAAGCTCAGCTCACGGTGTAGCATTGCGTAAGCAACCGCGGTCACTAACCATCCCTGAGCCCTGGCCTCGACACCTCGACACCAAACCTCGACACCGACTCGACACCTCGACAACCCATGCCAACTCGACAAACTCGACACCCCTCGACACCCCTCGACACCCCTCGACACCCCTCGACACCATCTAGGCTGAAACCATGCTCGTCCGTGTCAAGGTGCCAAACTCGACACCTCGACACCCCTCGACACCCCTCGGCACCCCTCGACACCGCTCGACACCGCTCGACACCGCTCGACACCGCTCGACACCGCTCGACACCGCTCGACACCGCTCGACACCGCTCGACACCGCTCGACACCGCTCGACACCGCTCGACACCGCTCGACACCGCTCGACACCGCTCGACACCGCTCGACACCGCTCGACACCGCTCGACACCTCTGATGATCCTAACACAGCAGAGACGTAGACCCATTGGAGTCACAGAGTTAGAAATCAGGGTTGCAGCAGCAATCAAACTTGGCTGGCAGTACTTTCATCCCTGAGTTGCAGCCTCTCAAGTTCTAGCTCAAGTTGCAGCTCAGTTGCACCCCTGTTGATGCAGCAAACATGGCAGTACTCAGGTAGCCCTAAGGTGCTGCACAGCACCTTGTACAGTGGCAATGAATCCTCACACCAGTGAGCTTGTGCCATGAGTGCAGACCTGTGGTCCATTGCGCTTTGTGCACTGGCGACGCTGCAACGGCGACGCTGCAGCGGCGGCGACGCTGCTGCGATGGGGTACTGGCAGCCCTTAGCTGCTGGACAGCACCTTGTGCAGTGGCAATGTCCACTGACTCATGGCACCAGCCTTGTGCCATGAGCGCTGTGGTCAGTTGCGCTTTGTGCGCCGGTGACGCTGCAGCAGCGACGCTGCTGCAGCAGCGACGCTGCTGCGGTGCTGCGCCTGCACAGCACCTTGGTGCACAGTGGCAATGACTCCCGGCACTTGATGTCCTCAAATGTCCACAGAGAGTATACTGGTTGTGCTCAGGTTGTGCTACATCAACAGGGTGCAACTGAGGCTGCAACTAAGGGATGAAACAGCTTTGCAACTGCTGCCCAACTTTTGTTGTACGTCTTTTAGGTTACTGGGAGAAAAGAGTTGTATGTTGATGGGCTGCAACTGCATCCACCTGCCACCTTGGACACCTCAATACCTCAGACGCCTCTTGACAACACTCGACACCCGCTCGACACCCGCTCGACACCCTCGACACCCTCGACACCCTCGACACCCCTCGACACCCCTCGACACTCCTCGACACGGACAAGCATGGTTTCAGCCTCGACAGGCCTCGCCAGGCCTCGCCTCGACAGGCCTCGCCAGGCCTCGCCAGGCCTCGCCAGGCCTCGCCAGGCCTCGCCGCCAGGCCTCGCCGCCAGGCCTCGCCAGGCCTCGCCGCCAGGCCTCGCCAGGCCTCGCCAGGCCTCGCCAGGCCTAGGCCTCGACAGGCTCGACACCTCTATCCCTCGACAGCAGCTCGACACCCTCGACACCGGGCCTCGACACCTCGACACCAGGGCTCAGAACCATCCACGGCAAGAGTCACGTTGAATGCTGCCGCATAAAGCAACAGAGTCGCGCTTGGCGCGATGGTCTTGTCGCGGTTCACGACTTGACGTTGCACACAGTCATAGACGCAGGATCTATTTGGCGAGTCCCGAGTCTCAAGCAGTGAAAGTAGGCGCGAGAAATCAATGTCGATCCTGGGGTCACAATTTTGGTGCACTTGGAGCACTTGGAGTGCAGTCATCAACCGCACATCCAGGGCCGGGGAGCTAAGAAGCGCACCCAGCGGGCCGGATGATTGGCATCGGGTTACGGGCTAGAGAGCCCTAGCCCCGGGGGTGCGCGTTCGCAGGGCAAGGGCCTTAAAGTAAACACGGGTCTCCGAGGGTTAGCTCCGCGCTCCAGGTTTCCCCTAGCAGCAGAACGCCCCCTCTACTCGGAGCTAGTAAACACTCGACACGGACTCGACACGGACTCGACGCCCGCCCACACCCGGCGCCTCACCACTCCGGACCCTTCTTCGTGGTCTCCCAACTTTCACTTCGGGACGTCTTCCCCCACCTCTCGGTCCTTCCTTCTGGTCGCATCCCGATAGTTGTGTGACGGGCGCGGGGCCCGACCTCCCCTCCTAGCCTTTTTCAGCCGCGGCTCCGCCCCCATCTCGTCTCCTCTGTTGGTGCTGGTTTCGTTTTCTGGTACATCACGACGACTTGCTTGGGTCTCATGTAGCTCGACGGCTCTTTGACGGCTCTTTCTGGTTGGATCAGACAGTGCTATCAGTCAACAACGCAATGCCGAGAGCAGGGCGGCCTTAGAGCAGGGCGGCCTTCGAGCAGGGTCAACTAAGCTCCTGCTGCATATCGAGCATGGAAGGCGGCCTATTTGCTCAAACCTGTTCGAGTTGGCCTCCGGGAACAAGGGTGCGTGGCCGGCGCGGTCTGGTTCACGTGCAATGAGGGTAACGCCATCAAAATCGCGAGGGCCGACATGCCTCCGACATTTCTCAAGGCCCGGACGGAAGCTCTGGCCTCTGCAGACAGCCAGACCGCTCTGCGCGGTCGGACCGACTTTTTCAGACTTAACTATTCTGGATACTGAGGGTATGTGCTGCTAGATCTCACTGAGCTGAGCTCGTATCTGCCTTTGGTAAGCAGTTTTGAGTTCGGTAATGTCTGCGGTAAGCTGTTTCCGTGTACAGAGGGCCGCGTCCGGACGACCATGACGTCGGCCGGGACCCCCCCGGTGGCGGGGCATTCGAGATGACTTGTCAGCGCTCCTCGTCTGGGCTTGGCATCACACCTCTCCCATCCACGCACGTGTACGTGTAGCTGGAGCAAGTACTCGTGAAAAAGGCGCGTCAAATGCAGCATCTAAAAGAAGACGACATGAATTCACAGAGAATGTTCACTGTTCAGAAGTCTTTGCGCGGTGTGTGTGTGAGCAGCCATTCCGCGTGGTTGAAGGTTGAAGGGGTCTGAGAGAGAGAGAGAGTGTGTTTGTGTTAGGGGTCTGTCAACCACTTGGTTGACAAAAACAAAAATGGTTGAGACCTCTGTCAACCCGCTGGTTGACAGTTGAGGCAATCGGCCTCAACCACCGCTCTGAGTAGACTTTTCGGTTCGTCCGACTGTGTGTAGGTTGTTGTTGGCAAAGGGGTGCCGGGCAGCGCCTTTTTTTCCTTTTTGACGAGACCTTGAATGGGGCTCATGAATGAATGTCACCACCAACCATTCCGGCACGCATGCTTTCACCGGCCATTCCGGCTCTCATGAATCCGTTTGCGCCGCCGCCGCAGTCCGCGCCGCCGCCGCCGCCGCCGCCGCCGCCACGAAGATGCGTCCTCGACGGCTGCAACAGCTACACACCATTCGGCGGAGACTCAACCTCCTCAGACATCGACTACACATCTATGGTCATCGCCCTGTCCGCCCTCCTTTTGTCGTTTCCCCTCTACGTGCTGATTTTCAAACTGCTAATGCGCTACCGGCCCTGTCAGCGCCGCGCACACAGCTCGAGTGCTGCCAAGCCGCCCGTTCTCACCACTGTCGAGGTCGACACGAGCGTGCACCGAGGCCTGTGGGTGGTCACGATGGACAAACGAGTGTGCATCGTCTACAATCCTTCGCAGCAGCCCAACCCTGAGCTGTCTCAGAGCGCCTAAGACACCACCGCGGCGTGTGCGATACCGGATACCGCGGTGTGCCACCAGGCGCTACCCGCTAGAAATCTGTGTGAGAGTGCAGTGTGTGGTGGCTCCGGGTGTGCGAGTTCGAGTCGCTCTGAGAGCAATCGTAAAACACAAAAAGTCAAATGTCCGCACTGGACATCTCTCCTATCTCCCTCCCTCGCGGACAGCGCCGGGGGGCACACTGGAAACTCGAGAGACACGAGAGACATAAAATTAAGACATAAATCACGTGCTGTCAAAGAGCGGTCTCGGCACCGGCCGCTTGCCCAGCGACACCGCACCGCCGCCCACCGCCTCCCAAGCGCCGAGGGAGGGGCTGTACGGCGTGCTCGGCAGCGCAGAGGGCGGCGTCGGTGGCGAGCGCGCGTGCGAGGCCGGCGGCGGCGCCCCGCCCGGCTGGTGGTGATGGTAGGGCGGCGGCGGCGGCGGCGACGGCGGCGAGAGCAGCAGTCTCGAGTCGGGCGTCGGCAGCTGGCTCAGTGGCGGCGGAGGCGAGTGCGGCCGGCTCGCGTGGTGGTGGCGGTAGGCTGGTCGCGGTGCGGCGGCGGGGAGAGGCTCGCTGTGCGCGGGAGGCGGGAAGCGGTGGTGGTGGTGCGGCGAGAGGGAGGGCGAGGGGTCGTACCCTGGCGACGGCGCGTCGAACGGACGGGGCGGCGGCGGGGCGGAGGCGGAGGCGGAGGAGGACGCGGCGGCGGCGGCGGTGCAGTAGCCGGGGGCGGAGGAGGAGGGCCCGGGAGTGGTGGAGCGCGTGAGGAGGGCGAGGGAGGAGGAGAGCGCGTTGACCTCCGCTCGCACCTCTCTCCGCAGGCTCTCGACCGCCCGCTCCAGCGAGGTGAGCCTCCCGCCACCGAGCGAGAGCCGGCCCTCCTCGTGCGGCGCGCCCTCCCCAAAGCAGCCGGAGGGCGGGGAGGCGCACGGCTTGGCCGAGGCGAGCTGCGCCAGCTGCAGCTTGAGCTCGGCGGCACTCGCCGCGCAGACGCGGCTCGCGGCGACGCCTGCAGGCGGCGGCGCCACGCCGGAGTGAGGTGCCGGTCCGCCGCCTGACGTGACGCCGCAGGCTTGGCGGGAAGGCGCGGACCGTCGTGCGCGGTCGCCTTGACAGCGCCAATCTCGCGCTGGAGAGCCTGCCGAGGGGGAGGGGGGGCGAGGCGGGGGTCTCACGGGACTGGCGCCAGCCGCGCATCCCCCCCCCCCCTCCTCCGCAAGCAGCACCTCCAGCCACCGCACCGCCTGCGCGTGAGAGGCACGCAGCGCAGCCACGCCCTCGGCCGCCTCCTCCGCGCGCGCGCGCCAGCCCGCAGCCTCTCCCCTCGCTGCGACGCCATCGCCCTCCGCCGCGTGCGCCGCCGCCCTCTCTGCCGTCGCCCGCGCCGCCTCCGCCTGCCCCCGCGCCTGCACCGCCTCCCCCCGCGCCTCCGCCGCCTCCGCCTGCGACGCCTCCGCCGCCTGCACCGCCTGCACGGCCCGTGTCGCCGCGGCCTGCGCCGCCGCCGTCGCCGCCGCCTGCGCCACCGCCGCCTCGCGCGCTTCGGCCCTCGCCTCTCCGCTGACCCCCTCCAGCCGCCTCACCGCCTCGATGCTCCGGTGCGTCGCGCTCACCGCCGCCCGAACCCGCTCGTCCAGCGCCGCCGCCGCCGCCGCCGCCGCCGCAGCCTCGTCGCGCGCTCGCGCGAGGTCGGCTTGGAAGGGGAGGAGCGCCGCTGCGGTGGTCGCCTGAGGGGGGGACGTGTCGTGGACGTGTCGTGGACGTCTGGGCAGGAGCGGTCCCCCGCCAGCGCTGGAGGGCGTGGCGGCCTGCAGCGCCTCGCCGCCCCTCCCCTCCTCGTCGACCAGCAGGCAGACCCGCCCGCCCAGCCGCGCAACCTGCACACAGCAGGCGAAGGGGTGAGGCGAGGCCGCAGCGAGAGCGACCAAGCGGCCGACCCTCCCCCCCTCGGCTGATGTGGGGCGGGTGTGTGGCTGGGTG